CACAGCATTACCTGCGAACAGGCATACTCTGGCGCCCGGAATTTTGGGTTTTCTGATTATGCGTGTCTCAGAATGATGCAAATGCCATTTCCGGGATTCAAATTTAAAAATTTTCGGTGCCTTCGGCACGAGCCTCCCCCCCAATATTTCATAAAATGTCCGCCACTTGCACACACGGTGGCTTAAAAGGTCTTAAAACTGTTTATTCTACCGATAAATAAAGGGTTTTTTTATTGACTGGGATTTCAATAACTCGGACTGGGATTTCTAATAAAAATCCAACTGGGACTGGGATTTTGCCAAAATTTCAGGTGGAAAATGGGATTGGGATCCCCCCTTCAGGACCCTCACTATAGGCTAATGACTCGGCAAAATTACCAAACAACAGTCGACAAAAGGTCACTCACCCCCCCCCCCACTCGAAGAGGGTTAACGCCGCCCCTGCGATGAAGCCTTAATAAGCGAAGATGAAACATCAGGGATGACTGAGTAATATCCAGCTAAGAATCTTGTTATGTTTTATGTATAATAGAGCAATTTTGAAAGTAAATACTTTCTACTTCAATTATTCTGTGCTTCAATCATCATTCGTGAATTTTGAGAATGCACGTGCTTGATGTTTCGGCTTAAAATTTGAATTTCCCGCGACAATATTTAAAACGATGATATAAAACATTAGTTTAATTCAAAGGCTTACATTTGACTCTGTCTTTATATTAAATTATGTTTCAAAGTATTATAAATAATGCCAAATAGTTAATAGTTGTGCATATATGACAGATTTCCAGTGGCAGTGTTTCTTGTATCAAAATTAAATAATAAATTATAGCTCAACCTGGCATTTACTCAAGTTTCAATCCTCAATTCTTTAAATGCTTATAAATACCTGGGCATATCCCAGCTAAATGTGCATGTCTCAGTTACAATAGTCATAGAATAAAAGTTATTCTGAATAAGGAGTGCATTATATAATAATAATTAACACACAATTTATAAAAACTGTATGTTTTGAATCAAATATGATTCATCTTCAACAGTGTTTCACAAGATATGTCGTTATATTTGCAAGACATGTCGTTATATTATATTATACTTATATCTATCTAGTATATGTGCTGAAATTATCAGCCAGAAAAGGATGTCTCATGCACTTTACCATTATAGCACTTATATACCCTAGTTTATTTTTTTTTCACCCTCAATCTAACACCAGGTGTTGGTTGCATCAAAGCTGGTTCTTTCAGTGCTATTTGATTTTACTATCATGTCTAACATCAGAGGGTAATAGTACAATGTACTAGGACATCATTGGAATGGGGTATAGAGGGTTAATTTCAATTTCCTTTGTATGCCATGCTTGAAGTTTTTAATGCCGGGTGCATGGGTCGGTTAATAGGTAAAAATGTAAATTTGATCAATTTGTTGTGTGGCAACTTGATAATGGAAGTGCCCTAACTGGAAAGAGTCAAAGTCCTTTGTTTGCTTGTTCAAAGTTTATAATATATGAATACATTTATTTATACCACCTCCACCTCTGCTTAATAGTATATGTACCAACCTTTGGGCTACATTATATATATCTTTAGAGACAACCCGGCAAGTCATGACAAGGGCCTAATGTTGGACATTTTATTTGCCAAGGAAAGAGTCCAGCTAGACTCATGATGTTCCATGCCCATGATGTTTCATGTTGACATATTTATATGTAATTTTCCTTAACACTCCCTACTTTAAGTTCTGCACACAATATTTTACTGTGAGGTCTCAAGCTAGACAATATTGCTTATCGACTGTCAGTGGTCTGCTTGTCCATTTTTCACCTTTTAATACTGACAATTAAGCTGACATGTATTGGCAATAACTGCTAGATCTGCAAGATGCTTGGAGGCATGGGTCCTGGAGCTAATAATTTACATACCTGACAATTGATCCATAAATGCTAGTAGACTACCAGACTGCTCATCCTGTAATTGATTTGAAACCCAATCGTGTAATAGATTGCTTACAGTTACTCAAACGTTGCCATTGATTTGACACTGCTTAAACTGCTATACATTCACCCCCGCCGCCCTTAAACTGCCACAACCTAGCATTGACAGCTAATAAGAAAACAAACGTGTTTTATTTTATACAATTTTAAACGATAATATACTTGTCAACCATGGTACTGCATTGCTAGTTCTCAGCTAGTTTGTTATTATTTCACTACTATTTTTTAACTTTTTTTAATTATCATACTACAATTTTATTACTTTATAAATTAACCATGTTGCAGTGCAACTATTTTTAGGTATTTTATTGTTATTTTATAACTATTTTATTGCTACATTCTGACTATTTTATTGCTATTTTATGACTATTTTACAGTTCTTTTATTGCTATTTTATAACTATTTTATTACTACTTTCTGACTATTTTATAACTATTTTATTAATCATTTTATAACAATATAACTTTATTACTCTCGACTATTTTATTACAATTTTATTACTATTTTATACCATTTTATAAGAATTTTGAACTATTTTTTTACTATTTTTTTTCTATTTTATCACTATTTTAAATTCTTCCTTTTTTTTCTATTTTATCAGTATTTTATTCATATTTTTAAACTATTTTATTACTATTTTTGCAGTAATTTTATTACTATTTTTAGTTAATATACTACAGTTGATCCACTATTTTATATGTATTTTCGACTATTTTTAACCTATTGTATGTATATTTAAAATCTATTTTATTACCAATGTTTCACCTTACTTTATTATTTTGTTTCTATTTTGCACTCTATTTTAAATATATTTTATTCTATTTTAAACCTATTTTAATCCGTGCTTCACCGTTTCAGAAAAATAAAATCTAATTAAAAAGGCTATTTTTTGTTTCAAAAAACCTATTTATAATAGCTATAAAATACAATTAAAACACAGTTCTAATATAGGTTTAATATAGGTTTTGTATATATGTGATAGCAATATGATAGGGTTAAAAATAAAATAGCTTTTATATAGGAATAAAATAGAAAGTAAATAGGGATAAAATATGGTTAAAATAGTGTTGATTTTCGCAAGGGCAGGCTCGGTGATTAGGGTTAATATTCACCTCGACTTCGTCTCGGTGAATATTCACCGGTAATCACTTCGCCTTCGGCCAATAATTGTTAATTATTTCCCAAACCGGTTTGACACATTTCTACAACTGGCCATTCACATGCGAGATTCAAATTTTGAACCAAATCAAGTGTGGAAGTCGGATTTGCAACTGATGTGACCAGAAGCTCTTCCTTCTGGCCTCTCGTTTCTTCCGTCTCGCAAAGAGTCCCTTCAAACCAGGATTCATCAATCATAAAAATACAAAAATATATAATATATTTGGTTAGGTTGCTTTCACGGGGTAGATACATACACAGAGTTATCACTAGTGTACCCAGGTTGTTGTGCGCAAGCTCAGCAAAATACTAAATATATACATGTATCGCATTGGATGACGGCTTGCTTTAACTGCTCGCAGAACTGGCCAAGTACACGCAGTAGATAATTTCCCCCCGGTTGCCTGAAAAATAATGGGTGCATTAAAACGCAAGTTCCCGCAGTGTGTACTACAACCAGTTATACCTCTGTATGTATTTAATCTGTTTTGGTGAGGTGGCAAGCAAATATTTCGTCAAAATATTTATCCCCCTGTCACGTAGCCCACGAAAGGTATTCGCGAACATGCGCATGACTTTTAAATTAATAATAAACTTCAGAAACAATGCATGACTAAGGACATAGTATACAAAGCAACAGTCACAACAAGCAACCCTAACACGATCATGAATTATATTGGCATGACATCAACTACATTTAAAGAGCGTTTGGCTAACCATAACTATACTTTCGAGCATAAAGAGCACTCAAACAAAACTGAACTTTCGAAATATATTTGGACAGTGAAAGATAGCAAGAAAGATTTTAATATCAATTGGCAAATTTTGAAACGCGCTATTTCGTATACGGGAGGATCAAAACGATGTAATTTATGTTTAGAGGAAAAATTTTGTATTTTGAAAGAAAACCAAAACCGTTTACTCAATAAAAGAATGGAAATTATATCTACGTGCAGACATAGGAAGAAATTTCGCGTAAACAACGCAAACAATACACTCCCACCATTCGATTAGGCATTTCCGCGTAAACAACGCAAACAATAGATGAATGCATGCTTTGTTTCACCCACACACCCCCACGTTCCGGCCAAAACACATATAAGCAGTCCTATTTTTCGAAACTTGTCATACCGCCTGATGATTCTTTACTGATGAAACAGACTGTTGCGGAATTTTGAGGTAAGCGAAATTTCTACATTTGCTCTATCTTTATGATATATATTGAGCACTCTTTGCGTTTCGTATACACAAACCTACTCGTATATATATATATATATATATATATATATATATATATATATATATATATATATATATATATATATATATATATATATATATATATATATATATATATATATATATTTATATATATATATATATATATATATATATATATATGTATATATATATATATACCAAATATGTATTTAGAATCATATATGAGTAGAGTGCTCGATATACCGAAGTGTAGAGCTAATATAGATAAAGATAAAATAAACCTGGTTTACTTCATAAGATTTATTCACTACAAACTTGTTTCGTATGACAAGCAATGACAAACTTGTTTCGTATGACAAGCAATTCACCACACTCATCAGGTGAATTTAAATGTCGCGCTAAATTCACCTGATGAGTGTGGCAAGCATTGCTTGTCATACGAAACAAGTTTGTGGGTGATGCCAATATAAGGTAAAATAGCACTGGTCTGAAGCAATCAGAATTAAAAAAATTAAAAAAAAATGTAATGATATGAAACAGTGTTAATAAAATTTTGAATTTGAATTGTAATGTTTTTCATTATTAGAATATAAATATAGGAAACCACTAATTAATCAAATATATTAAATTCTCACCCTTCCTCGATGTACTGACGAGTTTCAATAATCGTTCTAGTACAATCAACATAGCCTGAAATCATTAAACAATAAAATATATCTTTCATACAATAGAGAATTGATGAGAGTTTAGAAGCGAAAGTTTGCATGAGAGTTTTCTCAACTCTCGTGGTCCAGGTCAAACGAAAACAAGAGTTGCGTGAAAGATGAAGTAATATTTCAAATCCGACTATGAGGACTGGGCTAGATTTCAAGTCAGCGCAATTTGATCATACCCCAGGCGAAGATGAGGACTGGATCAAAATGAAGGGATCTATTGTACTAGAAAGCTTCGAATTGATAGGGATACAGCTACATTAAAAATACAAGGAGAACAGTATCGTATTTTTAAGATATGGAAATTCCTCCGACATCTCCAAATTTGGTATTTCCATATCCTAAAAAACAACCCTGAAACAATATCCACAAAACCTTAGTTCGTCGTCACAGAATAGCACGTTTCCTTGTCGGGTGCCCCAATTTAAAACCTGTTCGTTTATAGATTTTGCTATACCTCCTCCCATCTCATCTACAGCATCTCATATTGGGGAAACTGGAAGATCTTTGATTACAAGGTTTGGTGAGCATCGATCGGCCTGCAGTCATTGGCAACGGTGCTAACCAACCTGTTGCCAGACATTTTAATAGTAGCAATCAGTGCCAATCGCAGTGTTTCAGATGTGAAAATTAAAGCCTTCTGTCCCATTTTTGGAAGCAACGATAGCCGCAAGAGACATCCTAAAGCTTTCGTATTATTTGCAACTAACTACACTGGAACGGTCTGTTTGAGATTATATCTATTGTACTAACCTTCTTCACCCATATACATCATAGCAGTCCAACAGCCAGCAATAATCCCACCAGAACGACTGCCTGGGATTGTCGGACATGCGTAGATCCCTCCCGTCCAATCCGTGGAAACAAAGAACTGGTGATGACGTAATTCGTGCGAACGATATAGAATGACCGAAGATCTCTTAGGAGCGTAGCCGTACTGTAATATTTAAAAAATAATCAAACAGTGTTTAATAACAGTGCCAATCTTACAGTCATATACTTCATTAAATACTCAGAAATGTTAAATTTGCCAAATACTTTGTGGGTGTCAGCAGAAATACTGGTTACGCCTTCCACTGAGAAGTCAAATGGCGCCAATGGAAAACTAAAAATGATTAAAATTACTAAAAAAAACTGATAAAGCTATACAGTATAAAATAAAGTTAGTTCAGTTTAGGTTTCTTCCTGTAGCAACACTGGATCAATGAGAGCTGATTCTTACTGGATCTCTATAGGAAGAACAGATTAGAATTGATGGAGCTATCCAGTACCAAAAAGAATAAAAATGCTTACAACTTTCGATGGTTTGTTATAAATTCATTACAAGAATCATGCAAGGCAATACTGTAGCTGCATTTCTGGCGGGGAAACACCTTGTTAGCTACATTTTAATAGTTATTACCCAGCATCTTTCATAAACGGGACAAGAAATCCACCCAAACAGCAATCAACATGAACGCCAATATTGTATTTTTTACCAAGCTGAAAGAAAAAACGAAAATTTCTATTTCCTACACTGTATAAAAATCGACATAATGAATGGGGATTGAAATAAACTACGGGATCTGCATACTAGAGATGTGCAAATCCGATCCGACACCAATCCGATCGGACTCATTTGCATTTCGGAGTCATAATACTCGTCCTTCGGACTCGTGCTATTTTGGTGCCCTTTGAAAAATTCACTCGTGCATGTTTTATCCAAATTGCACTCGAAACCATCCTAATACCTATACTACTAATGCATGAAATAAATAATTGTTTCAAAGATAAATACCTTAGCAATTTCTTCAATGGGATCGATGATACCATGAGGATACGATGGGCATGAACCAACCAACTACAAAATAATGAATTTCTCATGACAAAACTATACCAAAATTATACAATACGAAGGCTTACAGGCGCAAAAATCTCACATCTTGCAGCAAGTCTACCAACAAGCCGCCAGCAACTCATTGTGTTCGCACTGATTGTCCCAAGTTGTAAACAAGTTTGGAACAAGCTGTTAACAACTTGTATAACAACCTTGTTGATATTATCAGACTTGTTGCAAGGTTGTTCCAACAAGTCCGACACAGTCATGATATAACAATATTGTTACAACCTTGTGCCGTCAACCTTGTGACAATCTTGTAAAATCATGACTGTACGAAACTTGTTAGAACAACCTTGTAACAAGTCTGATAATGCCATCAAGCTTGTTACAAGTTGTTAACAGTTTGTTCCAAACTTGTTACAACAACTTGGAACAAGTAGTGCAATGACAACTTGTCGACAGCTTGTGAACAGATTTGTAACAACTTATTTTCAGATCTGTAACAACTTGTGCGTGTACTACTCACGTAAACCACGCAAGTTGTTACAGATATGCAGACAAGTTGCAACAAGGTTGTTGACAAGCTGATATCAGAATGTCTTCGCACTGCTTGTTCCCAGCTGTTGTGACAAGTCTAGAACAAGTTGTTATCACCTTGTCACAAGGTTGATGACGGTAACAGACTTTTTTTCCAACAAGACTAACACGTTGCGTAACAAGTTGCCACGAGCGTGTTGTCATCAACTTGGTAACAACTTGTTACATGCAGACGATATCAGACTTGTTGGAACAATTTGTTGCGAGTCTGTTGGCCTCATCAACCTTGTTACAAGGGGATAACAACTTGTTCTAGGCTTGTCAACAACTAGGAACAAGCAGTGCGAACACATCTTGTTGACAAGTTGTGAGATTTTTACGCGTATATAACTCACCAAAACCGTATTTTTCGTAATAGCTCGTCTCATAGCTCGAAGATTACATTTCCTTGTTTTTTCATCAACAGGAACCAGAATAAGTTTCATCTTGAAATACGCTGCAGCCTTGATGAAACAATAAAATATTTCACTTCATTTCTAGTAACAATTCGCCATTCCGAAATTAATAGGGAGATTACACACGCAAGACGGCGACGCCGGTCTGCTAAACACACTGTTTGAAATAAATGATTGGTTGGAAATCTAAAATCTTGTTTGTATTTACTTTCGTATGAATTTAATACAGTTTTGAACAAGTAAAAAGAGCTTTAAACCTTCCGAGCAATTTTGGTTAACTCAATTTTGCTAGAAAAACTACCTGTCACGGCTTGAAATGCTAGCGTAGTGTACTATACGAGACGTGAAATATGCATTTTGCCGTTGTCAACAGAGGTTGGACAACGTCTAAAACTCCTGCTAGACTTATAGTTATTCATTTCTTTTGTGCTATAGGGTTATTGACATTGTATTGATAGCCGTCGTCCTGACATCACCGTCGTACATGCGTAAACTCACTATATGCATGTGGTATGCATACGGTATTAAAAACACCAAAATGAACACCGAGGTATCGATAGACTGCTTGAATTCCAATAATATTCGTGAGATACCAGCGCAGCGCTCTAACCAGCAGGGGTGGATCTGGCCTGATTTGTTAGAGAGGGTAAAGGTTTTCTAGAGGGCGTGCATTACTACAGGGGCGGATTTTCTGGGGGGTGCAGGGGGGTGCGCACCCCCCCAAATGTTCTAGCACCCCCCAGAAAAATTCGGAAATGGCGTGCATACTGTAGGTTATTATTATTATAACCTTTATTTAAAGAAAATTATACATTTAGCAGTAAGAGTACAACTTACTGATAACTTCAACAAATGCAATTATATCATATGTTATACTAAGACAAGTATTTTTAATTTATAAAACTAAATATACTACGTAAAAATGTCTAAAGATTAAATATCCAAACGCATATTCAATTTTAATAAAAAGACCAGATAAAAAGCTACAACTAAACTAAACTTTCGTGAAAAAAAAATTAGGTAGAATACTAAGCCTAAAAATTCAGTTAAAAGGCCAAGTATAATACTGTAAATCTAAGCTATGAGCGCAAGTCTAATTTTGGCGTGTGAAACGGCTGAATCAAAACCAAGAAACAGTGGCAGAAGACGAACAAAGTCAAAGTGAATTTCCAGATCGTTGGTGAGGTTCTGACCAACTTTTAATTTTAAAAGTGTATGAACCGGAGAGAGAGAGACAATAAAATATGAAAACTTTGTGCTTCGACTTTCTGTTGTTTTGTGAAACACCAGAAATCAGAAAGTCATAAAAATTGCTACGAGAAATGGAAGGCAAAGGTCCGAATATCAGATGGACAAGATACAAGTATACTCGCGAAACTGGTTCCCGACCAAGCGAAAACAACTCAAAACAACAGAGAGTACTTTAATTTAAACTTCTGTTCCAGTATGTAATTTGGTTTGCAATGAACGAAATAACATTCCGGGACCATGACGAGGCGGCTGATTCGAAGAAACCAGGTAACTGGACAACTTTTATGAAGATGCAACTGAAGACCAACAAGGAGTTTCGAAGTCTCCACCAAGCGATAACAGATAATTAAAAGGCTTCTTGTGGACTACACTAGTAAAACGTCTCTCAATGAAATGCTGTCTATACTGGCGGTTCAGATACGGAACCAGATATGCCATCAGATCGCTACTGCCGAGTGCTTCAGTGCACTGATCGACGAAAGCAAAGACAAGGGCAAGAGAGAAGAGCTTGCTTTCTCTGTTCGCTACTACACTACAAGATCAGACAAGAGTAAGAATCACTCCACAGAAAAATTTGTCCTAGCAAACAAGTTAAACATATTACGCAGCAAATCGATGTTCATTGGGGATGCAAATACGAAGCCTATTAAGTGATCTTTTATGCATTTCGTTAAACAGAGATGTTGTTGATTTGCTGGATTTGGACGAAGTCGTAACAGCATGGGGAAACATGCGCAATAGGTGGTCTAAAATCTAAGTAATTAACTGACTAACTAGTCTACGTGTATAAAATGTATAATGTAGTTATTACTGAATTGAAAACTTAAAAAAGCTATTCATTA